GCTTTCGGGAAGCTGAGTCAGCTGAGAGGAGGGCCTCCACCGCACTGGTCACCTGGGAAAAGCAGCAGGTCAGACAGCACCCTAGCCCCTTCCTACTTGCCCCTGCCCCTGCCCCTTGATCTTCAGCTTTGCCCGTACTGCCCGTATTGCCACTCTAGCCTCTCCTGACCTAGAATCTTTCACAAGGTGGACTATGTCCCTACCCGATCTTGGACAATGTCGGGCAGTCCCCCCAAGCCATCCCGGGCAATCTCCAAGTAGTCTGGCAAAATGACAATCTTCACATCCTCGTCATATTCAAATTTTTCCTCGGAGAGGTCAAACCCGCCTTCAACACCTGGAGAGACAGGGAAGAGGGAAAACAGGACAAATGCTATAGTTGATGTCCCTCCTCCAACACAGCACCTCACTTTGTTCCCTCTAGAGCCTCTGTGAGCAGGAAAAGAGCCGCTCAGGAAAAAGAACAGGAGAACAGTGGTGCTCACCGATAGCCAGCCGGGTGGGCTTCTTACGGGGCGGGTCTCCAGTGCCTGCAGTAGTATCCTCTTCCTTCTGTAACAAATAGGAAGGGCAGGATCAGCAATGAACACCAGGGAAAAATAAACAGGAACAATAGAGAGGATGGAGTGCTTAATCCCAGAATGGAATGATCCTAAAAAATATCTTGGGAGGAGGGCAATTCTGGTGAATGAACCCTGGGGCCTTTGCACTGAGCTACATTACCCAGGCCTTTTTATTACAAGACAGGGTGTTTTTTTTGTTTTTTTTTTTGGCAGAACCAGGGACTGAATTCAGGCCCTTGAGCTTGCCAGGGAAGTGCTCTTTCTATTGAGCCATCTCCCTGACCCTTAAGACAGGGTATTTTTAAGTTGCCAAGATGCCAAAGCTAGGCTCAAACTTGTGATCTCTATCTTAGTCTCCCAGAGTGCTGGGATGATAGGAGTAAGTCACCACAACACAAAAGAAAATAGAGAGAAACTGAAATAGAGAGAAACTGGTGTCGGATGGAACAGACAGATTTCCTCTGGGTGCCCTAAGGAATATGTCTGAATACACCCTACCTCTCCCTACCCCATGTTCCTACCGGGCGCCGGGTCCGCCGGAGATGCAGGTAGACACGCTGGCCTGTCTTGTTGAAATGTCTCTCCACATACTGCTTCCCAAAGCCCAGGAATGTGTTCATGCAGATGTAGAGGCCACCCTCAGACTCCTGCAGGAAACAAGGCAAAAGAAGAAACACAGAGGATGAAGCCTGGTTGAGTTGGGATAGGAAGGACTTGAGAGTTCAAAACGCTGGCCTCAGGCTGGGGAGATAGCTCAGTAGAATAAGTGCTTGCCTGGCAAGCGCAGAGTCCCCAGTACCGCAAAAAAAAACCAAAAACAAATGCTGGCCTCTACTGCCGGGAATAGAGTAGTGTGCATCACAACACTGGGCTCTTCTCTAGTCTTTTAGAACCTGGAATCTAGGATTCTCCATTTCCTATGACTTAACCAACAACTGGTAAGAACATCAGACAAAACAACACCTCTCAGTCATCATTCATGTTCCCTCTGCTCATCTGGACTTTACACCCCAGCAATCACAATCAATTTGAGGACTCCTTTCATCTCTTTTTTTTTTTTTTTTTGAGAGAGAGACAGTCTTACTGTGCAGCCCAGGCTGACATCGAGCTTGCAACCATCCTACCTTATCCTGAGTGCTGAGATTATGGGTGTGTACCTGTACACACTGCTTCACCTCTTTTCTGAGGCCAAAAGATCCAGAAAGTAAATGCAGACCAAACACCAGGTTTCCAGTGCTAGAGATTACATTCAGAGCTTCCCTGGGATACACTGATCCCAGCCTGGGACTCCAAAAACAAACACTACTTCATTTTGATAATTTAGAAAATTTTCCAGGCTAGAGGAACAGATTCCAGCTCTAAACAGTACCCCCTAACCCTGAGATTGCCAACAGGCCAGACCTTCCCTCTACCACATGCTGCTGGTAACTGAGCCCTGATCCTGAGTCCTCTTCCTTCTGTCCTGGGAACAATGTCTTGTTTACAACTCACAGCTAGATCAGCCCCAGTCTGGAAGGTCATCAAGTCCAGCATTCTAGTTACCAGCCATGTCTTCCTCTTCCCTCCCCTTGGACCAACAAATAAAAGATTCCTCACTGCCATCCCATTAACGTCCAACCTCAAAGCCACCAATCTCTTTGAACAATTGAGCAAGATCTGCTGAGATACTTACTACACAATTACTTCAAAAGGGCTGAGCAAGACAAGCATCCACCCAGGATCACAGCTGAGAAGACGGGCTCACCCCAGAGCTGAGCAGGTCTACCCATCCCTTTGCAAACAGAGTGATGGTGAAGGTGGGACAGGAACTGGAGACAATGAGTCTTGCCTTCAAGGCTTTGAGCAACAGGCATCCTTTTCCCAGAATAAAAGTCTCAATGGCCTTGAACATTTTCTCTGTGATATTAAAAACAGTCTAAGGCAGTTCTTGGTCTTATCAGTTTCTCTGTACTACTCCCTAAATACATAGATTTTGATCTTCACAGCGAGATCAACTAAGTTTTTCCTCCCTTGAACCCAATTTGTGATAATTAAATATGCTGGGAGTTGGTTAGCAAAGTAACTAAGTCACGCTGGAGATCTCTTGACTGGAGATAGAAAGGGGAAAATTTCAGGAAAATACAAACCTCTTTTTTGATTATTCAAAGCAGTTACTAAAGAGAGAGGCAAGATTCAAATGTAAAGAGGGATCCAGACTTCTACCATCTGCTGGTGATTAAGAAAAATCTTTCCCTCAGGGGAAAAAGGTGGGAGCTCTTCAGCTGGAAATAAGAGATGCTGGTTTCACCATGGATTGGGAACCCTGGAGCGCAGCTCAGATTACTCCTCTTTTTATTCTTCCAAAGCCAGACTTCAGAGAAGCAGCACATTATCTGGCCCTGATCAAAGCCCAGCAAACCACAAATCTCAGTGATGGCCCTGAACTGGGCCTCACATCATGCTGCTATACTGAGCATGAATGATGCATTAATGAAGCCTTTCCACTCTGACTTGCAATTTTGAGGCCATGAGCTGGTCTGGCTGAACACTCTGGGCAAGGCCCAGCAGTGGCCTGAGGGGAGGGCTGGGAAGGGGGGCGGATCCCAACCAAGCTACTGCCCTCTCAGTTCACGCCTGGCGGCTCGCCTCAGTCGAGGGTGACCTAGGAAGGTAGAATCGCACGAAGGAAGGTACTGGGTGGAGCCTGCAAAACGTGAAGCACGGGTGTGGGTGGTGGCTTTGTCTAACTAGGCAAGAGTGGGAGCGAGATGGAAAAGGGGCCTTAGCATCTTCCCAGAAAGTGTCTCTCCGGGAATACTTTGAAACAGGTTCTTTCTGCTCCCAGTGATGGGCAGGGTGTGTGTGTGTGGGGTCTGCAACCGTAGTTCACGTACAGGAGAAAGTTACAGCTTTCCTTTCCTTTTCCTCCCTTCACACCACCATGACCCACCCCTGCCCCTGTCCTTATTAGCTACGGGTGGAGGCAGCCTAAGCTGGTGTTCCTCATAACCAGACCTCATTCAGCTCACTTCCAGACTACCCGCCACCTAAAAACAGCTGTCCACGCCCTCCCAACCCGGGACCATAACAAGGGGGGGTCGGCCCCATTCCTTTCCTATGAGACTACAAAACCCGGAGAGCCACGCGCCTATAAAGACCGGCTCCCGTCTCTCTCGAGTCTGCCTGGGGGATGTAGTCCACCGCCGGGCTTCGGCACCGGACTCGCACCACCGTGAGGGCGGCAAGAGACTACAAAGCCTACAATGCACTGCAGCGCGGGCGCGCGCCGATTGGGCGCAGCGGCTTCCGGGGCCGGTAGTCAAGCGGAGGCTCCAGCTAATGGAGAGTAGCGGGGAAAAGGAGCGCGAGAGACTACAGGTTCCAAGGTGCACCGCGAGGAGGCGGCGGCCCGAGCCTCACAGGCCCCGGCAGAATGACCACGGCGATGGAAGGAAGTCATGTTCACTGCGGGAGTGGGGAAGGGGCTTACCGGTGTGTCGAAGGAAAAGGCGCACTCATCCTTGTGAACCCGGTCGCCAGCCTTGGGGACCCGGATCGTTGGTAATACTGACAGCAGCGCCTCCTCGCTCAGCTCCGCCATGACACCGGCAGTAGCTCCACCACACACGGCGGCTCTCACCGTTCCCACTCCCCCACCTCCACTCTCCTGGCCAATGAGCGCTGCTCGACAGGCGCATGCGCTGAATGCCAGACCCGGGAGAATGGCAGTTGGACGCAGCCTGCGGGATAGTGCCCCACCTCCTACCCTACTCGCGCCCGACGCCAATAAGAAGCGCTCTTCATTCAATTGATGGCCAAAGGGACCAATCCCACTCTTTCAGGGCTGGAGCGCATGTAGGGTAGCCAGGTGGACTTCGTGGCTGCTGCTGTTCAGCCTTGAGGACTCCAAGTCAAGGACAGAAACTCAACAGTTGTTCAAACCTCCAGATTTCGAAACTTCCCTGGGAAGTCATCAGTAGGAAAGTAGAAAGGCAGTTATTTGCTTGGTATTTGAAAAGAGGCCGTCCAATGAGACGGAAATGTAAGGTGGTGATTGACAACCCCGTCAACCAATAAGCATTAGTACTTCTCTCGCCTCAAGAAAACTAGCACAACTCCAACAGAATTTGTGCATACCCGCGGAATAATTCATTATTCTATTTTGTTTAATAAAATGGCTTGAGTTTAACACAGAAGGTCTCAAAAGCGAAGACTAGTACTCCTCAAATTCTCGTGACGGACAGCTCACAAGCAGATACTGAACGAGTCTGCGTCATCCCTAGGCAAGGGAGCCTCAGTCCATTGGCCCCACAATCCTCATGATAGACATCTTCTGAGGCCAATGGCCTTCCTCCTTGGAGGCGGGTCTCACTCTGGACCTATAGGAACCTACTTTGGCTCAGCCAATAGAGTCGAGGTAGGGGGCGTGGCGGGAAGTTTGAAACTTGTAACTTCGAGAAGTCATCTTCAAACTGGTTTGCATCGGTAGGTAGAGTTGGAGCTCTCAAATTACGGTAAGTAATTTGAAAACAATAATGAATAAATTAGAGTGCTCAGCGAACCCAGAATGAACATTTTAGAAAACTTCATCAGTCGTTAACACCGCAGAGGCCTCTGGGTTCTTCAGCTGGAAACTGGAAAAATTAGGGGATTTGGGGTCACAGGTTGTACACGGTCGCGGTAATAACTAAGACCCGAGAGACTTCTCACGAGCATCCTCTCTATCCTGCGGACCTTGTCCCGACCCCAGTGGAGATGGGCTCAGCCCAGAGCCTCCCAGCCACTGCAGCGCAGCCTCCACCACATAACAAGCATCTGGCTCGAGTAGCGGACCCTCGCTCGCCAAGTGCTGGCATTCAGCGCACTCCTATCCAGGTACTAGAGCGGGGGGGGGGAGGGGAGGGCGCGGGGGGGGAGGCCTACATTTTTGGGCTTCTGCCAAACCTGATACTTAGGACGCCACTACACCCCCAAGCCCTTATTTTCTGCATTTTAAATCTTCCTGTGATGGGCTGATCATCTAAGGGACTTAGTAACTCCCACCAGAAGTATGGGGACAGAGGTCAGGACTCAGACTTGTTCTAGCCTGTGGTCCTGACAGGTGGAGAGCTCTCCACAAACAAGCCTTCCAGCCAGAGAAGAGCTGGAGGATCCTAAGCAGGACCTGGACTCAGATCCTCGCTCTCCTACCCTTGGCATTGCACGGACACCTATGAAGACCAGTAATGTTGGTGAGTGTTGGCCCAGGGAACGCCCATGACTTTATCACCTATTGCTTTTGGGTAGAGTCAGTGAAGCTCTCCTCTCAGGAGTCTCCTTTTATTTTTTGTGGTACTGGGGAAGGAACTCAGGGCCTTCTGAATTTGAGGCAAGTACCGCACCACTGAGCTACACCCTACCTCCTATCTCACTCTTCACACTTGATTTCACTCGACGTGTTCCTTCACCCATCTGGGTGTAAATCCTAAGCTCCTGGATCCTCCTTACTGAATGATTTGTACAGGATGTCCCTGCTCACTTCAGTTCTTTCCTCTAGACCCGGAGAGTCCTCTGGTGAAACAACTGAGTGAAGTATTTGAGACTGAAGCCTCAAAATCAAATCTTCTCCCAGAGCCTGTTCTGGCCCTGGAAGCAGTTTCACCTGCTGAACTGGACTTGTCTATGGATACTCAGTTATCTCAGGAGGACCAGAGGAAACCTTGGAACCAGACCAAGCTTTCCTCTAAAGAGGTGTTGTCCAATGAGGAAGCTAAACAACCCACTGAAATCCCCATGGCCAGCCAGAGTTCGGACAAGCCTGCACGAGACCCTGAGACTCCCCAGCCTTCAGGTACAAAATCCAAGAGCAAGGTGCAGAAAAGAAAAACTATAGTATCCATGGAGGAATATGAGAAAAGTGAACTAAGCTGCCAGTGTCTAAGCCCCTAATTTTGAGTTCTTGCTTTAACCACCCTAGGTTCTAAGTGTAATAGACGGAAACAAAACAGTAAGTTGGTAGGGAGACCCCCCCTCACTATCCTGCAGGATGACAACTCTCCTGGGACCCTGACACCTCGACAGGTAAAGGGAGGGAGGGGAAAAGCCATTGCTAACATAACCAACAGAGAGGGTGGGAGGCCCTGAACAGCACCCTTTCAGCTTCCCCTCAGCCTTCCATTGCGTATACTGCCTCCTTTTGCAGGGCAAGCGGCCTTCTCCCCTGAATGACAATGTTAAGGAACTAAAGGAAGGAGCCATTCTTGGAACTGGACGACTTCTGAAAACTGGAGGGCG